CCCGCTCTCCGCGCGGGCCCCGGTGCCGGCTCCGGTTCGGGGCCGGTTCCGCTCATGGCGTTCCCCCAGCCGCGGCTCGCGCCGGCGGAGCTGCCCCGGCACCGGGCGCGGAGCATCGAGTGCGGCCAGGGCGCCGTGCGGGCCGCGCGCTTCAACGGTGAGCGCGGGACCGGGACCGGGGAACGGGGACCGGGGATGGGGGAACCGGGACCGGGCAGGGCGCCGTGCGGGCCGCGCGCTTCAACGGTGAGCGCGGGACCGGGGACCGGGGACCGGGGATGGGGGAACCGGGACCGGGCAGGGCGCCGTGCGGGCCGTGCGCTTCAACGGTGAGCGCGGGACCGGGGGAACCGGGAGTGGGGAATGGGAACCAGGAACTGGGATCTGTGGGACGTGCACCTGGACCATGGGGGACGGAACAGGAGAACCGGGATCTGGACCGGGGGGTGGACCCAGGAACTGGGATCTGCTGACTCAGGATCTGGACCCTGGTGCCCCTGGTCCCGGGACACTGCCCTTGGTGCCCCAAGACGGGGAGAGTGACAGGGAGGGGGGTGACACTCAGCGTCCCAAGGGGAGGGGTGACAGTGGGTGTCCCAAGGGGGGRTGCGGGGGGTGTCCCCGGGGTCCCCCGCGTCACCCGTGTCCCTGCAGCCGACGGCAACTACTGCGTGACGGGCGGCAGCGACAAGACGCTCAAGCTGTGGAACCCCTACAAGGGCACCCTGCTGCGCTCCTACCTGGGCCACGGCTACGAGGTGCTCGACGCCGCGGGGTGAGGGCACGCGGGGACGCGGGGACGCGGGGACAGGGGGACGCCACCGCGCCGGCACCGCGTCCCCCACCGCGTCGGCACCGCGTCCCCCACCGCGTCCCCCGTCCCCACAGCTCCTTCGACAACAGCCAGCTGTGCTCGGGCAGCGCCGACAAGACGGTGGCGCTCTGGGACGTGGCCACGGGGCAGGCGGTGCGCAAGTTCCGGGGACACGCGGGGGTCAGTGACGCCGGGGGGGCCGGGGGGGCTGTCACTGCCCGCGGGGACGCCTTGTCACCTTCCTCCGCAGAAGGTCAACTCCGTGCAGTTCAACGAGGAGGCCACTGTCATCGTGTCCGGTGAGCGGAGGCGCCGGCGGCCGCCCCCTCTTCGTGTCCCCCCCCCTCGGTGTCCCCCGCGCTCTCGGTGTCCCCCTTGTCCCCATCCTGTCCCGCCATCCCCACAGGCTCCATCGACTCCAGCGTGCGCTGCTGGGACTGCCGCTCGCGCCGCCCGGAGCCCGTCCAGGTGCTGGACGAGGCCAAGGACGGAGTGTCCAGCGTGAAGGTCTCGGACCACGAGATCCTGGCAGGGTGAGGGACACCCCGCGGTGACGGGGACAGCCCCGCGGCCGCCGCGTCCCCCCGGCCAGGGCCGCCGCGTCCCCCCGGCCAGGGCCACCGTGTCCCGTCTCCCCACAGCTCCGTGGACGGCCGCGTCCGGCGCTACGACCTGCGGGCGGGCGAGCTCTACTCGGACTACGTGGGCAGTGAGTGACGCTGGGGACAAGGGAGACGCGGAGGGGCAGGACAGCGTCCCCACCGCRTCCCCACCGTGTCCCCGTCGCGTCCCCGCAGGCCCCGTCACCTGCGTGTGCTTCACCAAGGACGGGCAGTGCGTGCTCGTCGCCAGCCTCGCGTCCCCGCTGCGCCTGCTGGACAAGGACACGGGCGAGATGCTGGGCGAGTACGGGCGGCTCTGCGGGGACACGCGGGGACACRGGGGGGACACGGCGGCGCCCCGACGTCCCCCGCGCGTCCCCGCCRCAGGTACCGCGGCCACCGCAGCAGCGCCTGCCGCCTGGACTGCGTCCTCAGCGAGCGCGACGCCCACGTGGGCTGCGCCTCCGAAGACGGCGCCGTCTACCTGTGGGACCTGGTGGAGGTGACGGCGCGCGGGGTGGCCCCACAGCGCCCTGCCTGTCCCCAACCTGTCCCCATGGCCCTGCCTGCCCCACATCCCTCCTGCGTGTCCCCACATCCCTCCCACGTGTCCCCAACCTGTCCCCATGGCCCTGCCTGCCCCACACACCTCCCGCGTGTCCCCACATCCCCCTGCCTGTCCCCACGTCCCCCCACCTGTCCCCATGGTCGTGCCTGTCCATACATCCCTCCCTGCCCATCCCTACATCCACTGCCTGTCCCCAGTCCCCTTCCTGTCCCCACGCGTCCCCACCTCCCCTGCCCGTCCCCAGGTCCCCCACGTGTCCCCACGTGTCCCCACCTCCCCTGCCCGTCCCCAGGTCCCCCACGTGTCCCCACGCGTCCCCGCATCCGCCGCGTGTCCCCGCAGGGCTCGCTGGCGCTGCGCCTGCCCGTGGGCCAGGGCGCCGTGCAGGCGCTCGCCTTCCACCCCAGGCAGCCCGTCCTGCTGGCGGCCACCGGCGGCACGCTGCAGCTCTGGGACACCGGGGACGCGGCGGGGGACACGACGGGGGACGCGGCCCCGTGACGGCCCGGCCCCCCCGCCAAGGCACCGACACCCCCAAAAAGCTGCAATTTTATTGGGAGCGAGTGGATCCCGGCGCGCCCGCCCGCCAGCAATAAATAACATTCATGTAAGGGCGGGCGGCCTGGGCGGCTTGATGGGGATGGGGAGGGGGGGTCCCGCCCCCCCGCTCGGCAGTGCCCCCGGGGGCACCCTAGGGTGACGATTGTGGGGGGGCGGCTCCATGCAGCGGCTCTGGGAAGGATCCCGCGCTCCGGGCGAACGTCTCGGCCACCAGCAGCGGGAAAACCAGGGAGGCGTCGGCATAAACCTGGATATGGGGGACACAGCAGGGACACGGTGACATTGGGGGGGCCGGGGGGAACACGTGTCCCCGTGCCCCCCACACACACCCACCTTGACCGGCGTCGCATCCGGGCGGATTTTGCCCCAGGAAACGGCCTCGTCCGGCCGGGCGCCCGAGTCGGAGCCGTCGAATTCCTGCGCCGTGTTCACGTACACGGAGAAGTCGGCCCCGTTCCTCTGCGTGGGGGGAAACGGGGGCAGCGTGAAGGGTCCCCCTGTCCCGGGGGTGTCCCCGGGTGTCCCTGGGGTGTCCCCGGGGTCCCTCACCATGAGGTTGGCGTTGGCGATGTGGTGCTTCACCAGGCCCCCGCCCAGGATGATCATTCCCGTGCGCTTGGCGAAGAGGGCCTGCGTGTTGATAAGGCGCAGATCTGGGGGGGCAAAGAAAGAGGGGGGACGAGGGGCTGTGAGGGGGCCCAGGCGTCCGGGCCGCCCCCCCGGCCCCCGCCTCACCCTCCACGATGTCCAGCACCAGCCCCGGGCGCTTGTACGAGTGGAAGAAGATCATGTCGCCCAGGGAGCCGTCGGTGAGCGCCGGGCTCAGCACCGGGATCCGGTTCTGCAGCGGGGGACACCCCCGGCACGCGGTGACACCCCCTGGGAGGCGGGGACACCCCCGGGGACACCCGCAGGGCACGGGGATACCCCCAGTGACACCCTCGAGCCACGGTGACACCCCCAGGACACGGGGACACCCCTAGTGACACCCTCGAGCCACGGTGACACCCCCAGGGGACACGGGGACACC